TGTTTATATATATATATATATATATATATATATGTTTAAACATAGAACCAGAAGTTATCTTGACATTCACCAAGAGACAAGTGAGGTAAGAAGTGGGGAGGAGCTTAAGTTGGTTTGGTCATTTAGAACTTTTTCTGAATTTGTTTTTAGACATCTATTTATTTCTAAAATTCCAGACTGTCTTGTTTTTTTACCTTTTTCACAGGTAAGTAAAATTTTGCAGTTTTTTCTGGATCAAATTGATGTTTAGTTTTGATAAGGTGGGATGCAAAGGTTGAATCCATTTTCCTTAATTTCCAGCTTCGAGTGTTCTTTAATTCTTGTTTCTATGGAACATCCTGTTTGACCTGAATATACACTATTGCAGTCTTTACACATTAATTAGTTAATCGCCACTATTGCTGTACTTTTTGATTTTGTCTTTGTTGTTGCGCAACATTTTTCCTAGTTTGTTTTTACAGTAAAAGGCCAGTCTGTAGATTTCTTTGTTCAGTGTGTTATATATTTTGTGAGAAGGTTTTCCAATGTAGCTCATCTTAAACCATTTCTTTTTGTTGTAATTTGGTACAGTGTCAGTATATTGATTTTAAATTTTTGGTTTTCAATTTTTTAAACAACAATGTGTTAATTAACTTTGTTGTTTAACCATTGTTAACAGCAATTTGTTTTATAGTTTTTAATTCAGTTTCATAATCTTCAGATGACAAGGGTACAGTGATAAGTCTGTGTAACAAACTATAGAACACAGCAAGTTTGTGAGATATTGGATGTCTCGAAGAAGCATGTATGATAGTGTCACTATACGTCAGTTTTCTGAAGATTTTGAAGGAATATATGCCATTAATTATATCAAAAATTAATGTTTCCATTTTCACCAAATTCCATAGTAAACTTAATAAATTTGTTTTGTGAATTTAGAAAAGTTACAAAATTGTCGAGTTGACTTTGGATCCTGTCCAGAGACAAATCATACCATCAACATATCTATACCAATATTTAACATGTTTTGTATTATTTTCATCACTAAACAATTTCTTCTCTAAATTATCTAAAATATATCAAACTATTGTAAATTTAAAGTAAACTTTACTATATCCTCTGATATTACAATACAGAATAATCCAAAACAAAACTACACGTCTGACACAGTACCTGTTAGTTTTGGTTTTGAATCACATTTTTATTAAAACATATATTTTATTCAATAAACTAGTACAACAGAAAATTAAGTATCATTATTTTTAGCACTCCATGCAAAATGTTAAAATACACATTAGAACTTAGAAGAGGAAATTAGATTTGTAATTGCTCTAACTACACTGCTTCTTGACCTCTCCTAAAGCAATGTACACATGTGTCAAAATCACATGCCTGGCTTCAAGTGCCAACCATTAGAGCAAAATGCTAAAGTTATTACTGACATCTCAAAATATGCAGGAAGAGGTGTTTGTATCGTTAAATATTCTAGTTATTTATCAGCATTTTTATTTTTATATAAAATCTTAATATTATTCACAGAAAAATAAGAAATTAATGGGTAACATTTACAAGTTTTTTTTTCTTATTAGGGCATTTTTTTGCTGTCATACTTGTTGGTTACCATAAAATGCTATGGCTCAGCCATGTGGTGTTGCTAATTTCAAGGAATTTGCAGAGGTTCACCAATGAAATTCACACATGAAAGGTATCACAGAACTGGACTTCCTCATTTTTATTAATAATACTGAACAATTAAAATATTGTTTACCTTTATTATAGAATGCACCTTTCCAGCAATTCGATCAAAAATGACAACAGTTTCATCTTCACTTCCTGATATTATAAACTTACTGTTAACCTCCATACACAGTACTGGTTTCTTGTGCACTGAATGTTCACCAACAAATTTTAAGCCAACTCTAGGATCCATCATTCGCACTTTTCTGTCAAAGGTACCTGCCACCAACATATCCTGATGAATAGCAAGTGACAGAACAGCCGCAGACCACCTAGAAATAAAAGAAAATTCTTATGTATCCAGAAGAAAAAAAAGTTCTATGAAACTTTTACTGTGATACAAAAAGCTCATAAAATATTTTAGAGGTTTTTTGCCTTTATTTTTGTACACATAATGTATTGTAATAAGACTTAAACACATTTTACGAAACTTGAAAATAAAGTATCCTGTCAAAAGTGGAGTTGAAGTAGACCTCTAGCTTTTATCATAATAATATTTTGCTAAATCACAGCATTAGACATAGTTCATTGAAGCATAATTATTCTTATTATACCTGTATATTAAATGTTGGTGTTCTGGTTAATCATGAAGCAATGGTATTGGGAATTTCATACAGATACTGTTAGTAATTTATGTTAACAAATTAATCAGAGATATTTCTATAACTCATTAGAATCAATTAACCAATATGCATAGACTACCATATCTTTTGGTGTATAAGACGCACTTTTTACCCCAAAATTTGATGTCAAAATCTGCTTGCGTCCTATACACT